TAGGGTAATGGAATCAGCTCCAATAATTGGGCTGTCACCAGCTCTTAGCAGTGCTTTTACATGGTCGAGATGGAGACTTTGTCAGACAAAAGAAACATGTAAATAGGTGCTTTTCTGTGTTGTGTTCTTTGGTTTAAAATTAAATACCTCCTTGCAGCTAAAGGTCTGTCGGCTAACAGGATAAATAACACTTCAGTGTAACCCAGCAGCTTGGCTCAGACTTCCAGCCACAGTAATTTCTTTTATAATTTTTTTATTTGTGCAATCACAGAAGTAATTGGGCTTGTCTACAAATAATGTTTTGATAAACTTCAATAGAAATTAGCAAACCAGCCATCAAATGGGATTTATAGAAAGTTGCTTGGGAAAATGTGTTGTAAGTAGTCTGCAATTCAAGGCATTTCCTTCGCAGGATGCTTATCAAGTCTGCATGTGCTACTTCCAAATTGAACTAGAACGTAGATGAGAGCTATTTTTGATAGAAGGGGGGGGGGAAGAAAATAAAGCCCAGTTGGAAAGTAGTAACAGGTTTTTTTTCTCATTGCCTTAGGATGTAAATCCTACAAGTGTGCAGGGAGAAAACAGACTTTGAAACAGCCGAAGAAAACAGATTTATCTGTGATGTCTGAGGTGATGCTGGTAGTGTAAACGTGATTGAAATAGTCATTGTAGGAGTGGTGATTAAATATAAGAGAAGCCTTTGCATAAGCTGACTTCTCTTTGCTGCTCCATATGCCAAGTAAAGGCAGAACGTCCTGCTTGTTTCTGGGATGTTCCTTCCCCAGGGAGGCTGTATCAGGAGGAGCAGCTGCCAGTTTTAAGGATTGTTGTGTTCCCAGATGCCAGTGTACAGCTCTTCTTTTATGTGCTGGTTGTGGCTGCCAGCCTCCTCTGGGCTGGTGGAGTTAAAAACGTTGCAAGACCGAGGGGAAAATGGTCAAGCAAATATTTTGGGGGGGATTTCTTCTAAATTAATCAGTTTTCTAGGCTTTTGGTCTTTCACAAATCAGCAGTGAAGCCTGGCACATGGAAGCTGTCTACAGAGAATAAACTTAGGGACAGCTTAATCTTCTTTCCAGAGTAAAAAATTGCCAGGCTGAAAAGGGATCTCACCTGTCATTCTCCTCTGGACTAATTTTTGGCTCTTCATCTGATATCAGTCAAATTTGATGAAGGCAGAGATGTTAAACATACCAGGGCTCCAGGACTCATGGGGATGAGTAGCTTGGTGGAGCAAATCCACCCTCCCATGATCTGACAGAGGAGACAAGGAGGGGTGCCAGGTCCTGGTCCCAGTCCTGTGGACAGGAGATGTGGAAGGAACAACCCAGGAGAGTGGGAGAGGAGCTCTGAGGTAGGAAGGGGAAGGATATACATGAATTAAGTCCCCACACCTATAGGTAAACCAAGATTCATGCATTTGCACAACTGCAGTGAGAGTGTTTTGGTTTTTTCTTGGTTTATTTTTTCCTCCAGAATTTAACAGCATTGAGGCAAACATCCAGATGACTTTATCAAGCACCTGTAATAACACTCCCTATATGTTTGTTTTGACTTAAGGGTTTTGTTTTGCCTCTTAACCCAGCTGAAATCGTGTGTTAATTCCTTACACAAAGCCTCAGCTGTGCCCTGTGAGCACGTCGCTTCCAGCATCAGCCACTGCATCAACCTCCTACTGGCATTTTTTAATTAAAAGAACAGCACTATCACTTCAAATTAGTGCCACATAGCTTATTGGAGTAAGGAGTGAAATGGTGTTTAAAGGTTTTTCTCTCGTGAAATTTTTTTATTAAAATTCGCTCTCTTTAGGTTTTATCTGGAGTTTGTCATTCAGTGCTTGGACAATATCTGATTCTGAGGTGTGCTCTTAGTGATATGAATGCAAACAAAAGGCTGACTTTTAATATCTTGACTATTTGATAAACAAGAATCACCTTCTTAATAAAAACAAAACAACAGACAAACATTATATTATTTTATGCTTCCCACAAAGCTGCATCAGCCTGTTTTTCAAGTGCATTCCCTGTGTGGAGAAAGTAGTGGAGGAATAGATATTTCTGGGAGCTTCTGTGCCATGAACTGTGAAGAGCTGGTTTTTGTAATCCTGTTCAGTGAAATTGTTAGGCCTCTGTTATACTAAATTACTGTGAGAGCAAGAAATATATCCAGGGGGAGGTAGCCCTAGTGAGAATTTTCCTCATACAGCATTTCATTTTATCTGGAATATTAGCACTGTTAACCATCCATGTGAAATGCAGTGCATTGAATCTGTTTAATCAATTTAAAGTGGAAAGCAAACGTCTTAGGCTTTGACTGAACCAGCTGTCCTCATGCATTGGGTTTTTTAGATATTAAATTTGGGACTTTGGATGTGTTAATATAGTAGTTTGATAAAGAACTTTTTGTTTAAGAGAACTTCCTTCGTATTTTTTGTTGCGGGGTCCTGCAGCCAAGTGGTCAGTCACTTGCTTTAAATCCTGTGTCTGAATATGAAACACAGACATTAAGGTTGTATTGGAAGAGGCATCATATCTTTTCCTTCAAGCTCCAGTTCATTTATGGAATACCTTTGATCGAGGCGTCTCAGAGCCGTAGTGGGATTAGAATTTATTGATGTGATGGACACTGACATTTTGTACAAGGAAAACAGCAAACAGGTGCTGTTGCAGGCAGAATGATGAATGTATAATGTTGAGAAAATTGTGACCAAATATCCTGGTCAGAATAGTGCACTACAGCGTTTTCACCAAGATCCCAGCCTTTGTGACTGTGGATTCACTTGGGATTGGAAAGGGAGTTTCCATTAGTGAGTAGCTTGCAAGTTGTTAATAAAAATTGCCCAGGGGAGGAAGGTCCACATGTTTTTGTTAAGCCACTGTTGAGAGACTGACTTTGCAGTGAAAATGTTTATTCTTTAAAAAAGAAAAAGCTGTGCTAGAATGCTACAGGCATGCTCTACTTATCTGTTTTCATTCTAAACTCTATTTTTATTTTGCTCTCTGCAGCCAGTCTGTAACTAAAACATTCCTAGCATCTTTTGGCTGGAGATTCAGTCAAGGACGTTCTCATCCTGCTTTCAAGAAGATGATTCCAGCCTTTCTTGAAGCTTCTCCAAAGGAAATTTCCTTCTGTACTGGATATGGTGACAGTGAGGGAAATCACTGCTTATGGTCCAAAGGCTTAGTGACATCCCCTTGCTGTTGTCATGTCCTACTAAGCTTAATCTGAAAGCAAATGGAAGTATTTTAGCACAGCCTGATGGCACAGAAGATGAGTTGGAGTCACCCTGGATCTGTGATGTTAGTTCTGCTTGAGCTCACTCACCTCACGAGGTGGCTGTGAGCAGAATAATGTGGATGAATGTTTAGTGCACAAAGGACAGGGGCTGTGTCTGTAGGGACAGACCTCCCTCCCCACCTTCCGACTCCATCAAAGGGGATTTGCCATCGTGGACTGGATTTTCTTCCTCAGCCATAGATTGGCCCCGACCAGGGTGTTTGTTTTGTTGTTCAGCCCTGGTGACTGTCAGTAGCACTGGGCTGAATAAACAGAGACTATTGATCAAATTTGAAGTCATTAACTTGGCAGTTTAAATAGATGCTGGCCTATATGATTAGAACAAGGGAGTAACACATAGGCTGATACAGCTTTATTCGGAATAAAAGCCTTCTTTTCATGGAATCTTGTTTGGTGCCATTCAGCCCTCAGTTTTGTGCCTCCCTGAGGTCACGCAAGAATGAGACGTTTCCTTAAAATACCTGAAGTGAAGGGGATGGCTTTGCTTGTGTAAGAGAGTGATAACACGGGTGTAGTATGGATCTGCTGAACTTTGATACTAATTGCAAATCCTGTTTGGAAGAAGGGGGTGCTACCCTGAGGTTATTGGTTATTGGTTAACCACATCCAGCTAGGACATGTCCTGGGAGAAATCCCGCTCCATCTCCATGTCCAGGCTGGCAGTGTTACTCCCAGCTCCAAAGCAGCAGCAATTCTGGATTGTCCATCTCGCTGCTGCAGAGAGGAACACACAGCTGTTAAATCTGGGTGTTTACACCCAAACACAACGGGTGATTAATGACTTCTGAAGGAAGACGTTTCCTTTTGGTGGCTGCTGTGGTGCCACGTGCCCGTCAGCCTTCTCCATCATTGTGAGGCTGTGGATGGAGCGTGGCTGGGGGACACGTGGCACGTTCTGCTGGGTGAGCTCCGGGCTGCTCCCAGATCCGCTCCAGAGGTCGGGCAGCGCCGTGTGAAGGGCCCGGCACGGAGCACTGATAATCCCACTGCTGGGGCTGCTCCTGAGTCACAGTGCTGCCTGTCCCTCTGTCCCTCGAGAGCCTGCACATTCAGCACCGGGACACACACGGATTGACCCACATTCCCTCGGGCACAGCGGCCGTCACGTGCACCCCACTGCCAGGAAATCAGACGGGAGCTGATGTCACTCGGTTCACCCCAGTGTTTGCACGGCCCCAGCCAAAGTGCTTTTAGGGATTTACCACTTGGGTGACTAATAGGTGATTAGGTGGATTGGAGGGAGTGTGTCTACATGCTTCTTGTAGACAGGGCTTACCCTGTAACAATGGCAGCACCAAAAAAGTCTCTTATGCATCATTCTCTTATTGTCGCTTTTAAATGGGACCGGTTATTAAATCAGACTTTTTTCCTCTACATAAAAGCTTTCTTACTAATTCTCTGGAAATTTTGTTATGTAGGGATGTTTTTCCTGCAACAGATGGACAAACGTCCTATAGAAGAAAACAGTGATTCTCTACTGGTGTTAACAAAAGAACAAAAGGAGGTGAATGAATGATAAAAATTTGGCTTCCCAAAGCTATTAATATCTCTGTAATTACAGTCTCTTTTTGGAACAAGCCTCGTTTCTGTCCCATTCTCCTTCCCCTCTGCCACAGCTTCTTTATTCCCACACATCCACTGGCAGCCCCCTCCTTCCCCCCTTCCACCTCTGTCCCCTCCCGCTCCCCCCGTGAGTTCAGCAGGGCTGGCACAGGGCCCGGGCTGATAAAGCCCAGACGAGCTGATTCCCTGGCTGCTGTCCAGGTGGCTGCTCACCTTTTACCGTCGGTGCCCTTCACAAACACGGGTGTGTTTGGGGCTCCCTCGGTTTTTTTCGTTTGTCAACAAGGAGGGTTTGAACCGAGTTCTCTGAACAAAAAAAAGAGAGACTAGAGACAGTGGAGAGCGATTTGCAGCCTCTTGGGCGGATGTTGAAAGGGATTATAACAGGCTGAATAATCACAAGACAAACTACTGGAGATTGAAAAAATTTCCAGGAATTAAAAACAATCTTGTAAAGCACCTGATGTACCTTATTCAAGAAGGGAAGTGATGCCAAGAATTTAATTTGGACAAACACAGTTTTTCTTCCCTCTTCGTGATTTTAAACTTTGCACCTCTATTTTAGCTTTTGTATAGGAAATTGAAGTCATTTTTCCCTTTTGTAGCTCAGCACTTAATCAGCCTGAATTATTTTTTAAAATTTTATCTGGATGGTCAAGGTGTAATTTTTCCCAGTTTTATGCACGTGCCTCTTGAGTCGTCTGGAACCTGATGGATATAATTTGAATATGGAATGGTAATGAAGACAAAAATAGAGGCATGCAAGAGCTGGTAACAAGGAAACCATCAAGAAGAGAAGTCAGTGGAATGTTTAATTCCATCTAGTGTGGGCAGTTTTCCCCTTAAGACATTAAAAGCATTTATACCTCAGTTCTAAGATCCAAGTTAGGATCAAAACTTCATTTATTTATTATGGGCTATTAGGCTCTGCCACTTCTTCCCAGCACCAACTCCCTCTTGATGATCCATGTGTTTGTTATCCTCAGGTTGATAACAACAGCCCAGGGAGCTCTGGGAAGAAAGAAGTACTTCTGAATGAATTCCAACTGGTTCAGTTTCTGGCCACTAAGTGGCCTAGAACAAAATGAACCCATGGCTCTAAGCTTTTGTATTTTCTTAACTCTTCACTGAATATGGACTTTCACTGCCCTGAGTTTTAACTCCCAGCCTGCTCTGGGTCACTTCAGAAGGAACTGCTCCATCTCACCTGTTTGCTCATCCTCACCACAAAGCAAACAGCAGATTTAAGAATAAGGAAGGCAAAAGCTGTAAGAGCATGAAAAAGTTTCTCTGGCAGCAAAGCCCGTGGCTTTGAAAAGCTTTACATGACAAGACTTGAGGCTTTTTATGTTTCTCTCCAAGCATGCCAAAAAGCACTCTGCATACCTCAGTTAAAATCCCAGCCTGGAAAACAGCGAGGTGTGCTGGAAATCAGGGAAAGTTTCTGAGGCATTTGCTAACCTGAGGTATGTGGTGTTACAGCAGTGATACGGTGCTGATGCCTTACTTGAAAGAAAGAATGCTTTTCATTTACTTGCAGAAAAATTTGGGGTGTTGACTGTGCCTCTTGAAAAGTCATCCAGTACCTGCTGGAATTTGTTCTGGTAGCAGTCACTGAAGTTAGTAGTGCTAGAAGAGGTGCTGGGTAAGTGTTATTCTTTGCAGTAGATTTCTGGCAACTGCTGGTTATAAGATTGTGGGTTATACTGAAACAGTTTAAACCCAGTGTGCTGCTTTTCCCTGAGGTTTCTTCTTTTCATATACTTAATAGGGTACAGGCTAAATTTCTTTTTCTATGGAATTTCTTGTACTGGAGATTCTGTGCTCAAGTGCTTCAGTATGAATGAAGAAATGGGAATATTGTGACCGTGGTGGCCAGCAGCGTTTTATACTTTTATTTACGACTTCTAAAAACTACTCTGCCACAATTCATTGTTTCATATTTTCAGTGCTTTTAAAATGGGAATTCTTTTCCCTCTTCATTTTGCTGGCAGTTAGTTAATGTCAGGATCAGCAGCATCCTGGGTCACCTAAGCAATTCCATTGCCAGCTTCCTGTTCTTGGTTCACAAGGCAGTTTTAACACCAAGCAGCCCAGAGCCAAACCTGAATACTGAGCATTAAGGCAACGTTCCATGTGGATTGTTTAACTATAACTCTTCTGCTGATACATTTAAGCCCTCATGGGATGAACTAATAGTTTACATAGTTTACAACTTACACATAACACCATTCATTTTTTGAATAAGTGTTCTTTCTTTTGAACAATCTACTTAGTACTTGATGAAAACCAGACATTAACTTTGTGCTGTTTATTAAAATACCCCCATTGGAAACTTTTGTTCCTGTAAAGTTGATTTTGTACCTTGTTTAATTGCAGGAAGATATCAAAGAAGCCAAATACTGGTTTTGTCTGGAAAAACAAATCTCAGTTTTAAATTGAGATTGAGAATGTGTTAAATTGCACTTTTTTTTTCTCCTTTAAAATAGTGTTTAACATTCAAATTGCCTTGTTCAAATACTGACACTACGTGTATGTGAAGGGATGTAAATACCAGCCACTCTTTGGAGATACAAAACATATGTTTTAGGTTTTAAAATGAAAAATCTGCTTCGTTTTACCTTGGAAGTTGTAGACATTTTGCTGTTTGACAGAAATTCAATGTTTCTATTGAACTGTTGCTTGGCTGTATCTGGTCAAACATTGCCAAGATTTTCAATACCAAGGTTTCTGCTTTCACAGGTTACACGTGTTTCGCAGCAGCAGATCAGACTCCTTTCTGCTTTCTGCATTACAAGCAGATATTTCGAGGCAAGACAATATATAAATATGAGCAGAGCTGGAGATAATACTGGGTTAGAAAGTACAGGAGTTGTGTGTTGTGTTCCTGACATTTCAAAACTGTTTTGCTCCATGGACAGGACCCCAGGGCTGGAGCTGCTTTAAGTGCTGTGAGTGCTTGGGCTTCCTTCTAATTGCCGGTCCCTGCTAAGCACCCGCAAATGTGTTGCTTCTGGTTTTGGTCTCTTGTTCTGCACTTTTTCCTCCGTTATAAAGCAGCAGAGAGCAGTCGTGCAGGTTTTCCTCACGGAATTATTAAATGAATGGCTTGTAAAAGCTCTAAGTCCATTAATTGGATGGTGTTTCAGGGGGGAGGGAAGCTGCTGTTAGTACAGGAACATACTTGTAACTCGAGCCTCACAAACTGGTTATAAACCATAGAGCTGTAGTAGTGGCCTGGGTACCCCCATAGAGAATATCTGGGAAGAAGGGGAATCTAAATTTCTGTGTTTTATTGCGAACATAACATTTATTGGAGAAGCTTTTTATGTACTGAATTAGTAAGCAAATGATCAGCTGCACGGGAGAGTCCTTCCAGGCTTCTTTTTGGTAATGAAAATAAGGCATCCAAGGCTTTACACATTTAACTTGGGAGAGTGGAGATCAGAGGCATGTTAAATGAAATACACCTCCCTGAAATGCTGACTGAGCACAGGGACTCTCGTTCTCCACTACAGGAGTGTCAACTAATACTTCATTTCTGCCCAAGTAATATCTAGAGTGTTCAGGTTTTCTTTTCTATATTTGATTGTTGATTCACTGTTGTTCATCTCACATTTTCCAGAGAAACAAATCCATACATCTGAAGATTTGGACAGTGTTTCTAGAAAGGACCTTTTTGTTACTGGGACTAGGGCTGGTTTTGAGCTCAGTCCCCTGCTCTGCCTGGAACTGTTGTGAGCAACATTGGGATGAGTTTATGGTCCCATTAGGTACTGACATTTTGTAGGGGGTTGAAAAAGATGCTTTGAAAACTCCCAAGTGTTAAAAGTACAAAATATTGGCCATCTTAGTAAAAGTCAGTTTGGAATCCGAGCTATGAGTGCATGTGGGTGGAGGAACATGTTTTTCATGCTTTAGGAATTTTTTTCCAGATGCTTTCGCAGTGCTTGGGTAACTATAAAAGCAAAGTATTGAGACTTCAGCATGGACTTATTCCCTAGTTTTAATGCAGTTTAAGAAAATTGAGCCACATCGTTTCCTGGTGCGTTTTTAGCTTTATTATGGTGACGATGCCGCCGAGCGCACGTTGGTGTCTGATCCAAAGTGTGAGCACAGGAATGTGCAAGCCTTGCAGAGAAGCCTGTCCTGATAGACACCACTTGCTTGGAAATATGAATTATTCAATGCAAGTGCACGTGATTGGAGATGCAAGAGATTGAATAAGGGAAGAATTCCAGAGCTGTGTTGATCCCAGTAACTACAACTTGGCGCAGGGAAGCGTGGAGGAAATATAAAAGGCCATTTTGTATTTCCAGTAGGAATTTTGTCATTGAAATTGGTTTTGTTTAGTTCTCAGCTAAGAGGTTGTATTTGCCCTGAGAACAGGATATTATTCTGTGTGGTTTTAACTGAATTTTTGAGTTCTTTACAGATATTTCTGTATCTCACTAGTGTGTACAGAAGCTGATGCTGTAGCTGAAGCCTGAGCATATCCTTGGTTTTCAGGGAGTTGGGAGACCATTTCTGGGCTCTTTAACAAAGCAAAAACTTGACTGAATTTGGGAAATCTCTCCTTACGACATCATTATCCCACTTGGCTGTGGTTGTGACAGATGTGTTGGTGGGGGTAGAGGAGTGAGTTTCAAAAGCCATACAGGGGGCATAAATGACTTTTTGTTCTGTTAGCATATTTTCTGGTACAGCTGTGTAATTGATGGGGTGTTTTTGAAAATGGCTGTGAAATGGTGATAGCAATACCTGACTTACCTCTTAACTTCCAGTTCTCACAGAAAGTGGTTGTGCTGTTTGGGGACAATCTGCAAATAAAAAGTGGAAGGATGTGAGGGAGGGTGGCAATTCAAGGCCATCTTGATGACAGAGGAGGTGTCACCAGTTATGGTCTCACTCTTTTCCCAGCATCTCCATCTGTATTTCTTACAGCTGAGCGGCCACTGTAGGGCCAATAATTAGCTAAAAGTGGTGAAACAGCAGCTTATTAAAGGTTTGCCCTAAAAAAATCAACATTTTAAAAAAAAGCCCCTGAAAGTGCAATTTGCTTGAGAAATAGGAACTTTATGTGGCTGGAATTTGCCCTGTGGTACATGGAAAAGATAAATCCCATGGGTAGGTCTGTAAGACTCAAGCACTCGGGGATATTTGGGGTTTATGCCTATCTAGGAAATAGGGAACTCTGTGGAGCAGATGACAAGGTTCTTGGCCTGGATTACAGGAAGGTGTAGCAAAGTCATAAGGAAATGGATGCAATAGCTGGGATTTAATGAAAGATTTAATCTGAGAGGTAACCTTTATCTCAGGCATTTCTTATGGGTGAGCAGAGGGGGAAGAAGAGAAAGAACAGTTGGTATGAGGGATAATTGATAAGCTTATTTCCACCTCTGATTTGTGTGTCTTTCTCTGATTCTGTACATCAGCATTAATTCAGCTTCCTGTTGATCTCCCTCTTTTATCCCTGCAAAGTTCTTCAGCTGATTCCATAACTCTTAAATGTTTCTCCAAGTTTTACATCTCAGTCAGTTCATTCTTAAAACTTGCCTTACTGGTCTTGTGTTGCACAGTCTCAGTTAACTGGGAATTTAATGAGTTGTTCTTCCAATGGCCCTGTGCTGGGTTTTTCAATGATTTTTGTTACTGAGAGCTAAATCAGCCCTTGCTGGTGTGGATATGAAGACTTATGGTTGGTCAGTGCCCAGGAGAATTTTTCAGTTTGAGTAATTCCTAGGAATCCTGGAGATGAAACTCTTGTGTTTTGTCAACTTGGTTTTGTTTGCACTCTGAGAACTGCCTCTCATTCGTGACTAGTTTCTGCTTAGGTAGGATGGAATTTTGATTCCTGGCTAAGTAGAAACTTTAATGACATGTTAATGGACTAATAAAAATGGCTCTTTCTGGGTGTGTGGTTTTTTGAAGATCTCTTCAAAGTTGTCTAGTGTTTGCAACTGGCTACACAAAGCCAAGTTCCAACCCACGAGGAGATCATGCCTTGAAAAGAGGCTTTGATTTTTACTGCAGCCTACACAAAAGGGCCACAAAAAGGCTTCGTGTATCAACTCCAGCAACTCTTTGAGAACTGAGGGGTTTATAATGAAGCATTGCTTTAATCTGGTAGTCAAGGTCTGGTTTAACACGAGTTCAGGGCGAGTCTTCCAATGTCAGGGCACGAATGCAGGGCCTGACGTCAGAGGGGTCTTGGGGTTTTTATGTCTCGGGTTGCAAATCTCGTTGGCACTGTGATGCTGAGATCATTAGTGAAGGCCACTCAGGGTACCTGGCAGTATGAAATTAGCTCCATCCAGCTAATTGGTTTATTTGGCTGTGGGTTTGTTCCTCTCTCTGCTTGCAGGCGCTGCAGCGGTTTGGGTTCGGTTACTGAGAAGTTAAAGCCGTCTGTGGATTCCTGCATTTCAGTCTCGAGCAGACGAAGAGAAAGACCAAAAGTATTCCTAAAGCAAACAAAAAAAGGACTAGAATAGAAACCTTGGCCTTTGCGGTGACAATTTAAACTGCAATTTGTGAATAAAGTGGTGGATTTCAGTCCAGTGATGTGGGAACTGTAAAGAAACTGCATTTTTACACACTTGGTGCCTTCAGCCATCTTTTCCCATAAACCCCACTTTTTTGTGCCCTGCCACATATAAATGATTGTTACCCTTAAAAAAAACCAGACACGTAAAACTTTCACATTTCTACTGCCAGGGTTGCCTGGCAGTAGAACTAAACCCAGACATTTATCTGCAGAGAAGTCTCGGTTAAGGTTATGTGCAGGAACAGAAGGATGAGCAGAGTCGTTCCTAAAGGCGGTTCAGAAGGGGTGGCTTGTGGTATTCAGAGTATTTTCCACAAAAGACACGGAACCATTTGGATGAGACGTGATTTCACAGAACAGATTCAGCAAAGATTTTAATTGTGGCCCGTGAGCTTTGGGCCATTAGAGCAGTGTGTGGTGAATAGCTGATGTTTGCTTTTTTCTCCTTTTTTTTGGAGACTTTTTTCCCATTTCAGGCACGTTGTTTTTGCCATGCAGCCTTCCAAAAACTGTTTTTCAGAATGGTGGGATTTTTGCTGTGAGCTGGTGTCCTGCTGTTGAACAGGAGAGCTGAAGCAACTCTACCTCCAACACAGGCTACCAACTTCATAAGTCAAAAGCTGGGCAGACTTTGAAGCCTTAGCAGAGATGTTTCCATGACTTGGATGCATCAAATTTGACCTGCTTTGTGGCCTTTGTCATATTTCAGTAGTTTGCAGTACCTTTAGTTTCATTTTATGTCAAGATCTTTTATTACTTTCTTTTCCAAAGCCTCATTGTTCTTCTTTGCTTCTATCTTAAAACAAACCAACCAACCTGTGATTCTTGTAATGATTATGCTGCATATCTGTGATTAAAGATGGTCTACACAGAAAGAAATATTAAGTGAAGTCCTCTCTGTGTCATCAGCCTGCTGACCTGTGTTTATCTTCTGTCAGAAAGTAAAACCAATGTATCCTGGAATCTGGCTGCCTGTTTGTACAAGCATAAATTATTAACCTGGAATGTCCAGGGGAAGGCCAGAGATGGCTGAAAGGTGTATTTGCCAGGATCTTTCACTGTAACCTTCCCCCCACACCTTTCCTGAGGGAGCTGTGGACGTACTGCTGGTTTGTCTTGTCTCCAGAATTAACCCGGGTACTAAATTGAAGGCCGTGGTCGCTCAGATCAAATCCACATGTAAAGGTCCTTCATTTGACTAAGGAGGCTTGTCCCTTTAACTTGCAAAGTGGGAATGAATGCAGGCCCAGGTGCAGATTTGCCTGCTGTTTTGCATTGGTACAGGCTGGGACCTACGGAATATTTTCATTGCTTACCTTATTTACTTTACTTCCCCCCCCCCAGGTCTCAAAACACAACTGCCTTGTTTGTACACTGGGCAGCTGGAAACAGTTGTAGCATCTTAGCAGAGTGCTCTGGGATGGGAGTTGGACTTGGTGATCCTTACGGGTCCCTTCCAAACTGAGGCGTTCTGTGTTGTATGTGAATAAATCCAGTGCTGATGCAGAGTCAGTGATGTGAGGACTCTCTCACAGACCAACATCCATCCTTTGAGCGCTGACAGCTCAGGAGGAGAACTTGCACACCAAGGCTTTGATTTTTCTAGGCTGGGTCTGTCCTCACCCAGACTGTGCCTCCTTCCTGAAAGTGCTGCTCCTGCTGCAGGGATGGTGGAGCAGCAGCTTTCTGATGCAATTCTCAGCTGGGTTGTTCAGACATTGGTGCCACTCCGGGCTCTCCTCACTACACCCGTCTTGCTCCTGCGGCACCTCCTGAACCACAGCAGATGATTCATTTCTGTTTGGAAGCGGGGTGGACAACCAGGGGCTGGCAGAGGAACCTCTCAGCTCGCTCAAGTTACATCCCCAGGGTGGATACTGACTTTGTCTAAGGCTCGTCCTTTCTTCACCTCCTGCCAAATATGCTTTCACACTAATACTTCACCCAGCTGGCTAATTTGGCCTTTGAAATTATCTCAATAATGTCAGGTACTTAAAAAAACATTCCCATCCCTTTATAAATATTATAATCTGGATGTGCAGACATTGTTTCGGTGGTGTTTGGGATCTGTTGTATTAAAAGAAGGAGTTCTGCAGTGCTGTGCAGCAATCCACAGCGGAGCATAAACAAATCCTGTGTCAGGCTCAAACAAGTCGGTTGACTTTGAGGAGGCAGAATGTAAATGCCCAAGTCAGGAGAATTAGTACCTTTTGTAACATTGCAACAAATGCAGGGAGATCGTTCCTGCTGACAAGCCCGAAACCTTTCTTGTTTAAAAGGAGGAAAAACCAAAAGAAAAAAAGCACTTTGGAAAGTGGGCAAAGACAGGGTTTGGGCAAGGCCTGGGCAAAGGGCACCTGGTTTCCAGTTAAGGATCCATCCCATTCTCCTAAACCACCTCTGAACCAGGGATAAAATTAATAACTTTTTAAGCCCTTGTAGGTGGACCTACCTGAGTTCATGGATTTCAGGCTTCAAGTAGCAGCTGACAGGTCTCTCCTCTTGGAGTCGATGCGTTTAAGAAGGAAATCTGGCACATTCCCAGCTTTGCAGAGCAGGGAGGGGCTGTCTGCTCCACTGCTGGCATGGTTTCACATCCAAGTCTCCCTTTGCTGACCCTTGTCACCCGTTTCTTTACCGGAATTTAGAAATCTATGGCTTTTAAGTGATAGAGCTCTTGAAAATATTTTTTGCTCTAGTGGGTTTAATATGCAAATAGTGGAACACAGCCAATGGTCCATCTCAGGCAGCCTGATCCTGGAGATTGCTCCATAAAGGTTTATTTCAGCTATTAGCTGCTGTGCCAATATTTTTCTTACAAGAAAGGGTAATGATTTTTGCAACCTAAAATTGAGGGTTTCACAGGCTACGAGTGGAAAATTGGCAGCTGAGCTCATCTGCTGTAGACTGAAAGGCTGTGGCAGAGGGAAAAGAGTTAAATGAAAAATATAATTCTTCAATAATAGCTTTGGAAATTTATGTTGCTATTTAGCTCTAGAAGGCACACCCGAAATATAGAATAAAGGTAATAATTACATAGACAGACCATATGCACAAAGTTACAGTTGTCGTACTTCTCCAGCTCAATAAATTATTCTCAAAATTGGGGATGGCAAATTGAAATGAGTTATTGGGTTTTAAAAATCTCACAGGAACTTTAAAATTCCTTTTGGCTGGTACTAGCACACAAAAGTTCTGATTTTACCTGTTCTCAGTCCCTGATCTTTGGGTGTTTTTTCCTCTGAAGCACTCACAGAAGGAAGAGGAAGTTAAAGGTTGCTCTGTCGTGCTTCCATAGAGCAGTGGATGGTGATTCTATAATCCTGTTTTGTTTCCCATTGAATTGCCATAGTCCTGTAGATTTTTCTTTTTTGGTCAGTTGTTTAAAAGGAAAAATACAAGAGAAGCTTTCTCTGATTATGCAGTTTGCCAGTGTAAGAAATAAGTAATTTTTAATACATTCTAAAAATAGTTTCCTGTGCGGCCGCTTTAATTATTGCTAAGATGGAGGATTTGTGTATTTTTTTCCATGAGCTTCTGGGTTAAATAGTGGATTTCTTTGGTCTGTTTACTTGACACATGAGGTGAGGCAGTTTTTATTCTGCTGGCTGTGTTGGGTAGGGAATGCTTAGAGGTGGAATTCTAGTAGAAGTGTATAAAAAATAAATAAATAAAGTATCTGTTCCTTTGCACCTTCCCTTTCCACAGTATAGAATTACGGTGAGGCTGAGGGTAAATCAGGAACAGGGGAAGATGGAGATGAGAGGGAGGAATGGCCTGTAGGAGAGGAATTGAGTATATTCTGAGCCTTCATTCTCATCCTGAAAGGTCTCTTTTCCTCACTGGAGGAAAGAGATTCCCTCAGAAGTAATTAAGTCTTTTATGGTTACCTTCCTCTCTTGGATCCTAGTTTGAGATAAGTTAAAGCTCTAATGTTTTCGTCTTTGGCTCTGGAGTTGTTTTTAATGGATGCCAAACAACTCGGATTGCTGAGATCGTACTGAGCAGTCCTTATGGAAAAGCAAAATTAGCCTCGTAGCTGGTAATAGACCTGGTAGAAATGGAGGTTGATGTGACTTTCCTCATCTAATTTTTTCTTAAACTACTGTGCTGGTGAGTAGAATTGGGGAGAGGGAATCAGTGTCTCATTTGTGGCTCTTTGTAAGGAAAACTTCTCGATGCAGATTTTTCTTCCGGGATGTTTATTTTTCTCCTGAGTGAGGTCCTGTCATACTTATCCCCAAACCTTGCTGTGTTTACAGATTGCTTTTGCTGTTGTGGGATTCCTCCCATGTCTTGTTTCACCATGTATCCTGTCCCTTTTGTGTGCAAGGAGCAGGAGGTTGCACTGCATTTGATGGGACTTAGCATAGAGGTCTCTTCCAGGAATCCCAGAACTTGGGAATTCAATTTTCTTAGTTCAGAAACTGTGTAATCCTTGTTCTAAACTGGGTGGGTTCTGAAACAACAACAAAAATCTGGTTTAGCATTTATGTAAGCATAAAGTATAGAAAATTAGGAGGTTTTAATGCAAAGGGACATTCATTAAATCTTGTGTGTGTTGTAACAATAGAACTACAGCAGCAAAGGAATTTTTATGTAAATCCATATTCCAATCACAGATAAAGAAAACAATGCTCACATTTAATATTTAGGTGGTTTTTATGAATTATGATCAGGTATTATTTTAACTGATGTGATTACCAGAAAGCTTTGTTTTATGGTCTTAAGATTTCTTTATCTGCTGTTTTGTTTTGCAGTATTATGTGCCAAGAATCTTGCAAAGAAAGATTTCTTCAGTAAGTATGTCCTAATTGTGTAACTTTCTGCTCTGGATTAATCAGATTTGTTGGTAGATGGTGCATTACTGTGGTGGCTCCTCTGTGTGTGTCATTTGCTCTGTGGTTCCCCTCTTGCAGGAGCACTGCATTACTACCTGAGTACATGTTACTCTGAGTTGTAGGTTGTGTAGAATTTAGGGGTGAAAAGGCTGAGGGCTCCCAAATTCCAGTTGAATTTGGCTGATGATACCACAGTCAATCTGCTGCTCACAGCTCTGTGTTGGGGGGTACCAGTAGCATCCATCTCAAAGACAGGATTAACTAAAATAGTTTTAGGATAATGGCAACTTGCCTTTCTTGGAAGGGGGAGCAGAAGCTCATGCTGGCATTATCTTGGAAGAACCAAAACAAAGGGCTGTGTTTAATAGCACCTTTTCCCTTCCACAGGACTTCCTGACCCATTTGCAAAAATAGTTGTGGATGGGTCAGGTCAGTGCCATTCCACTGACACTGTGAAGAACACGTTGGACCCCAAATGGAACCAGCATTATGATCTGTGAGTCGTTTGTAAGGTCATAAGTAAACAATATGCCAGAGATTTATCCGGAATGCAAGGATTGGCACTGCAACTTTATTTCGTGTTAGCAACAGTTGTTCACATTTCATAGAAACACAAAATGGTTTGGTTGGAAGGGACCTTAAAGCCCATCCAGTCCCTGCCACAGGCAGGGACACGTTCCACTATCCCAGATTGCTCCAAGCCCTGTCCAGCCTGGCCTTGGACACCTCCGGGGATGGGGCAGCCACAGCTTCTCTGGGCAACTTGTGCCTCACCACCCTCACAGGGAAGAATTTCTTCTTAATATCCCATCTAACCCTGCCCTCTCAGTACTGATTTTTTTTCAGCAAGAAATCACCTGTTAATAAAGGATTGGTACTTTGCTTTTTGGTGTTTCAGTCCAGAAATATTTGCGTGTCAGGTACACAGCACAAGTGCTTAGAGTGAGCTCTGCTGGAGCAGTGCCATCCAGCTTTTACAGGAGACTGTCCTTGTTGTAATGATTTATTTCCTTCAAATTATTAGAACCATAAATTGTAAAGTTTTGTCTGTTAATTGACTTGTTGTTTAGCTTTTAATGAGGCTGGCTGTAGTTAAATTCATGCTGCAGCAATATCAATTTCCCACGCTGTGTGAAATCATTGTGCAGTAATTCATTAATAACAACATTTCGGGCGTAAGCACTTGTGTTTTTATAATAAAGAGGCATGACTGATGTACTAAAATGTGTCAGAATTTGTACCAATTACAGCGTCGATTCTGTGGAGTAAAAAGAGCTTATTATTTCTAAAATTACTCTTTTAATATGTATTTTTCTAGATATGTTGGGAAAACAGATTCCATAACCATCAGTGTATGGAACCATAAAAAAATCCATAAGAAACAGGGAGCTGGCTTCCTGGGGTGTGTCCGACTCCTCTCCAATGCCATCAGCAGGCTAAAAGATACTGGATGTAAGAGCAATTCCTACCTGGGGTGATCAAGAACCCTCCATGAGTAGTGAATAGTGTTCCCACCCACCCCTTGCCAGGGCTGATCTTTCCCATTCTCCTTTGCAGACCAGCGTTTGGATCTATGCAAACTCAACCCCACAGACACCGATGCTGTCCGAGGCCAAATAGTGGGTAAGAATGGTCTCAGCTACATTTCACCTGCTTGGTAAAGCCCCACAGGGACAAAGGTTGTGTTAAAAAAGAAACCTCTTCTTCTGGTTTTAATGGGATTAAATTACATAACCTGGAAATTTGCCTTGTGCTCCCGTGCAGGAGTTTGTTTCCTCTCAGTTGATGGTGGGAAACAGTATTAAAAAGAGGGAATGTGTCTGGCAAGGCTTCTGCAGCAGCTCTGGGAGGGAAAAGGCCACTGTGAAACTCATGCATTTGGCCAAGGTGGCAGGCAGAGGGAACCTTAGGTGGAAAAAAGGATCTGGAGGAGCTAAGAGAAATGTTATAAATTTCTGGTTTAATACCTTTGACTGATGTAACCCATTTCCAGATTTCAGCAAGGCAGTGCTAGTTTTACAGCTAATTCACCCCACGTTTTCTGCCCCCACGCAAGCCAAGCGTCTCAGTGATATATAAATGTATTTGGCAAACCCCAAATTCTCACCCTAATGATGACATCTAGTGGTGAACAATTTTTTTCCAGCTTCCCTTTCTGGATCCTCATGAAACCCAGATGTAGAACCTGACATGTTTGATTTTTACAGAAATAAACTCAAGTTTTGAGGGGATAAGCTTCTGATTTCTGTTCTCCTTTTTAAAAAAATTAGTAATGCTTTAAGATTATAGAAGGAGTTCTGGTAAGTGAAGTGCTGTCCTGTGTAGGATAGAGCTTTCCTTAATATTTTCCCCTGTAAAAATGTGGATTGTTTAGCTTTTTGTTGTTTTTAAGGAAGCAGTTGCTCTTTTATTAACCTGAGTTTGTGGTTTTTTATTTCAGTCAGTTTACAGACACGGGACAGAATAGGCACAGGAGGTTCTGTAGTAGACTGCAGAGGGCTTTTGGAGAATGAAGGGTAAGGATTGTTTTTTTTACACTTAATTAGAAAAATGGTTTATATGTGGAAAGACTGTAATTAACATGAGAAATATTAAATATCAGTGTGACTAATATATTGCCTGGGAATATGTATCCACTATCTACTATCAACTATCCAGAAAGTAAGGTTATAGCTGGATAATTACTTGAAGAAAATAAGCTTAACTGGGTAAGACTTGTGGTTTTTTGTTGCCGGTGCCTGTGGCACTTCCCTGAGAAATTTGGGTATTAAAACATTAGGAAAATGGCATAAATTGGGTTAAAAGCCGTAACGGAGAGAGAGAGAAACAGTTATTTCTGCATTCACTTCTCTCGTGATGGAAACTCTTGAAGTTTCCCCATTTTCAGAACGGTTTATGAAGATTCCGGGCCGGGAAGGCCGCTGAGCTGTTTCATGGAGGAGCCGGCGCCGTACACGG